GGTTACACCTATGTATGTTAGTTAGAACATTTTGGCTATTGTCTTCAAAAACACTTCATTCGTGGGAAGTGTACGTGCAATTGTATTTTGTACCAGGTGCAGCTGTAGGCCTATATACTATATGTACCATTTAGCCTGGTACAGATGGCAAATCTGATCACCGCTGGTTGAAAAGAGTAGATCTAACCATCACCATACCAGTCTATCCCCCGAGAACACACCTACTCATCGTATGTAGGCCTACTGGTACTTGAAGAAAAAATTTTAAAAAAGAAAAAAACATTCTCAATGCTTTTAGTCAAATTTTATAAGCCTCGAGTTATAATCTTGACTTCACTACCTTTCAGATGAAGCGGGAGATAAGGCATCATAACATTAACATAGCTCATCATCATCACACAACGTAACACTCGTGCAGACTTTTCCTTGCTCACGTAGGCTTACGTACGTTACGTTGTGGTTGGTTAATGTTCTCAGTGGGGAACCGCATCGTGGAGAGGAAAGGGGGGGGGGGGGTCATGAATAGCGTAACACGCAATATTCTGATGTTTTCCTTTTTTTAGAACAAGTTTTTTCTTTCTTTTTTTATTGGGGGGGGGGGTATAAAAAGTAAGTGAATTAAAGTAGGCTTTTTTCCAGGGATCCACCACCATTAGCCTGCGTTTTCGAAATGAAGAGAACCATAAAACATTGTAGCAGTGTTCTTTATTTTATTCCATTTTATTTTTATTTTATTTTATTTTTACCGTCTTGTCTTGAATACCCTATCACAATTATAGGCTTACTCACTCACAAGCTAAAATGTTGAAGATAAAGAAAGGACTGCAACGGGTTAACGAGCGTGTGCCCGAACTGTGAAATATATAATAATAATAATATGGACACGGTAAACTGAGCCGATTTTGAAGGTTAACTCTGGAAAGCGTTTTTTTATAATTTTTAAAAATAATTTGTTTAAGTAAGGGTTTTACGGCACTTGCAACTCAATAAGGTCATATAAGTACCGAAGATCAGAGGTGTTACAAGAGAGTAACAAACACCCCCCCAAAAAAAGAAGTAGGAGAGATAAGGTCGACAGATTTTTAATTGGAAAGAAGGAGCAGCATAATAATAGTTATTAATTGTTCTCATACGTGGCGACAGTTAGTGGTACCTTTTGCTCTTTGCTCTGTGCAGGTGGTTACATGTAGGCCTACTACATGTATTAACATAATCTGCAGTGGAAGAAATCTTGTAGGCTTGACATTTAAATATCGTGTATTAGCAACATAACAACTCTTTGGTCTGGTTCCTTATTCAACCCTAGAAAGAGCATAGCTTGGGTTTTCTCTGACTTTATCCCCGAACCCCCCCCCCCCGCCCTAAGAAGACGCCAGAAGTCCCCCCCCCCCTTTTTTTTTCAAGCAGATGTCAGAAGTCTCCACGAATCCCCAACAAGGGCTCACCGAATTAAAATCAGATTTTTTTTTTCAACAAAAAGTACTCCGACTCCAGCCTTGACTTTCACAAACTTTTCATGATCACATTGACGTGGATTAACTATAATGCACCCCAGTTAGGGAACATCCGAGCTAAGGTATTATATATACGTTAACGTATATATATTATATCCCCTCTGCACTGTATGTCATCTCTCTTTGTCTGTCCCAGCGCTGTGTTATGCACACACACAAATGTGAAATTATGCAAACTGAGTCGAAAAATGTGAAATTATGCAAACTGAGTAGAAAAATGTGAAATCATGCCATTCTGTTAATTATATAACTAAGAATGATAAAGGAAAATAATAAGAAATTATGGAAAAAATGATCAAATTTTGTTAAATTATGCGGGGGGAGGGGGGCGGGGGATAAACCCTCGGGGACAGCTTTGTGCTTGATTCTCCGTACGTGGCGCTCAATTGACTAACAAATTTTTTTTTGTTTTTTGTTTGTTTGTTTTTTAAAATAAAAATGCGCCACGTCGGGTCGGAAGACTGAAGCCGTTAACAAAGGCCATTATGGGAGATGCCATATAAAACAATGGGAATAGGGAGCCAAGACGCCAATGGATAGATGATAAGATTGGTCTGGATGTAGAAATAAGAGGCTATAGCTGGGTGAGTGCATGGCCATGGCTCAATAGACGGAAGATCTAGGAGTAGGAGGCTGGCTGAGTGAATGTATGTCCATAGCGCAATAGACGGAAGATCTAGCTACAAGAGTCAGTTTAGCAAGGTTTCATGGCACTCGCAACTGAATAAGGTCATTTGAGCGCCTAGGGGTGGATGTCAACAGAAAAGTCCAAAACGGGGAACCAGGCATATTCTGCTCACTTCTTTAGCCTCAACAGCGCAAAGTGTGCTTCGACTATCAAGGCACCCCGGAAATAGCAGTTCACAGGAGAGTGACAAACACACCAAAAGTGACAGACACACCAAAAAAAAAATAATTAAATAAATACATATAGGAAAACTGGCGATAGAAATAGAAAGGATGAGGAAAGAAAAAGCAGCAGTTCCCCCTATGTTGTTCCGGCACAGTATGTGCATGACATTGATAAATTTGCCCATTTATAATTCTACTGTGCATAAGTTATGATGTTAATATCCACCCTTTGGAAATGGCCTAAAGACAACTTCAGTCAGTAGCACTGCCCAAGGGAGTTGGGGGGGGGGGGGGGGCGGAGGTCTAGCTACGAGAGTCATGGCACGTTCACCTCAGCCCTGGAGCAGCGCTTGCATACAACAATAGGGAGTGATTAGCCTATACACATGATGTAGTATTGTATAGCTTGTTCATTGTTCAATTATGTCTTCCGCGCTTGTAACAAGATAAAACAAATCGCCCTATTTAATATCTTCTCGGGTCTCTGCATGCGGGTCGAAAA